ATATATTTGTCTTTCATTAAAACTTGATAGCACACTAGAGAGAATAAAGACTACATGGCTGCTACAGTGTAAAATGCTGGAAGAAAACTAGTCAAAACTGCTTCTTAGATATACAATTATGATTACTGATGTCCTTTCAATGAAATCCTATGTGGTTAAAATGAGAAACACACAACCTGGGAGAAATGTCTATTCCACATTTCAAGTTGTGATCTGCTGCATTGGTATGAGTTTTGGTGAAACCTGGTAAAAGAAAGAGAAGAAAAAATGACCAAATTGTACAAAACCTCATGGCATCAACATCTCTTTTCTGAATTTCCAAACCTGAATAATGTTGGCAACAAACAGCCTTGCCACAGACATCACCTAGAGTTTTCTCATTATTTTCCATTCTAAACCAACGAGACAGAAAACTCTTTCCTGTTTACATTGTGGGTATATAGTTCTCAACCTGCTTGCACGTTACAGTTCCTAAATTAAGCATCAGTAAGACTGGCAACTGCAAGAGGGTGGAGGAACAGACAGAGACGATAAAGGGTCCAGAAAACCAAGCTCTCGGAAGGGATCACTGAGCTCTGAGATTGATGCCTCTGAGAGTACCCAAAACAGAGACACAGAGTAAGGCACAAGTCTCAAAATGCTCAAAATAAGTCTAGTCAATTCCCAATTTCGTTGACACAATGTAGTCTTTGGATTAACTGGGCCCATATTAATGAAGAGATACATGATCGATGATGAATTTTATCAGAAATATCATAATCAGAATGGAAATGATATGAAGGCAGTAAAAAGATTCCAAGTTATTTTTAAAAAGGAGGTAATAGCATTAAAAATATTAAATGTTGACTAGGTTTATGTTCAATATACAGAACAATACATGCATTCCTAGAAGACTTGAAGCAGAGAAAAATGAGGACAGGTCTACATTTAATGGTAGAGCTGGTGGAAGAATAAAGTTAAATGTAAGTGATTTGGCTTAATTTTGACTGATCTTTCAAGGCAATGTCAGGTACAGATGTCTTCATTCAGTCTGGCAAATATCCATGGAGTCCTATTAAGTAACAGTCCCCATGGAAAGCACAGTGGGGGCATATTAAAACCTAGATGATTTTGGAGCTCTTCAAGAATGAAGCGATTGAAGTGGGCCTAGCCTTCCAGAATAAACAGTTAATATTTTGTTAAATTAATGAAAAAATGAATGAATGGATTAAATAAGCCTTAAAGAATTAGAAGAAAGGTTTTAATAGAGGTTAAAACAGTATTAACAATAGGAGTAGACAATTATTTGGCTTTGATGAGGTTAAATATTTTTAGTTCATTTATAAATTGTTTCTGTATTAGCTCTTCACAATGTCAAGAGCTAATGCCCCCTTTTCCATTTTTCTACTAAAAGAATGACACGATCAGAGTAAAAAGGATTAGTATGGCTTGGTATACAGCTTAAAATAAATGACAGCTCATTCAGACCTGCCAGTTCCAAGAGCAGATATATAATAATAGACAAAATAATAGACATATAATAAATAGTCAAAAATCACAGCCCACATGTGCATAGATCTTCAACTCTACTGAAAAGAACAAAAGACATATGGGCTCTGAGTATTTAGAAAGTGTGTCTCACAAACAACCCATTTTCTTTTTTTAAACAACAGAGCATCTGTAGAAATAATTTAATGAAATGAAACTCTATTTTTCGGGAAACAGATCATTTCCAATAGATGCTTTATAGCATTTCCTTTAAAAGGAAACTGGACACCTTAATTTTATAACCTAAACATCTGATCACTTTCCTTGGCATACTGACCCTATTTTGAGCTCTTAATGTCATTTATATCCTCAATGTGGACTTTGACTTATATGAAGAAAGAAAGAGATGAAGCTTTATGTAGACTGACTTGGCCCGCCTATTTCTGTAATGAAAAACACCTACTAAATCACCATTTTTCATCCTGTTCTTGCTCAGTCTCATCAACATTTTAAGCCCATGCAGGCTGAAGCAGATCATCCTGCCAAGGTGATCTACAGGTAACACAAGACTATATGATTTAGGTGTAGAATATAAGCCAACAATTTGTTTTCCCAGTCCATTGAAATCCCAATGGTATACAATTTAATTCTGGTATAATGCCAGTTCATAATAGATACGGAGTATAAATTTATTCAACTTAGCAAAGAATACGTACACCTGGCTTCTTCCAAATTTCACTGCAAACATACAAATAAGCTGTATTCTTAATTTTTGCCAATGGTGGTTTAGATGTATTCCTGCCTGTAGAATAAGACCAAGACCCTTGGGAGGAGGAACTACACCAATTTGTCCTATTTTATTCACATTTCATAGCTCAATGTGGGACACAAATGGGCGTTCAATAAATAATCATGGTTGACTGGAAGTTTATTTTACCTCTGGAAGTTTATTTTACCATGTGATTTTCAAATATGGATTCAGTTTTTCTTAAATCTAATTAAAAAATAAAAACAGAAGGAAATAATGTTGTTTCAAAAAAGGTCCACAGACATATATGGTAAAGAAAAAAATATTTTATGTAACACAAGCATGCATTAGAAAAGAGAGAAATGAATAACCATTTGAATTAACTACTCAGTGGAAAAAGAGACTTCGGAGATAATGCAATTTAAGTGATGGCATATCACTTTTCCCTTTTCTTTCTACTTTGGCCCATCAAGTAACTGGCAGGAACACACTGAGTGAAATACAGGAATCTGACATTTTCATTAGCTTGTCACAGCTTTAATAGGAGAAAATGTTAGCCAACACATTTTCAAAATTACTCAGACCTAGGTTTTCACCCTTTTTTCTTTATTATGCAACAACCTGGTTGTCTAACTATTCCCTTCTAAAATGTTTATTTCCAGGTATACATTGAAGACTGAGTGGGCCTTTTCTCAAAAAGGAATTTTGACTAACTTGTATAAAGTTATAGAGAGAGTAAAATGGTACCTATCCATTAATAACCACATGGAATATCTTCTAAATTATGATGTGAAACACTTTATTTGAATTATCAAATTTGAATTTGAATTATTTAACTATTAATTTAATTTGAATGATCAAATAAAGAAATGTTACCCTCAATATAATTTTATTATTGTATGTATTTTATTGATAACCCAGCTATTACACAGAACATATTAATTAGAGCATTCTAGTCCCTACCATTACAGAAAAACAATCTGCTACATGTGATTTCACCCATCAGGGTCTAAAGAGATGCCACTGATCATCAGATCCTCAAAAGCTAGCTCTTTTGTTGAGATGGTTCAGCTGATACTACACCTTTTCATTTTCACAACAACACTAATATGCAAATTCACATCTTATCTCAATAGCCTAATTTGGAGGAAATAAGATTACATGTCAATGTCAAAAGAGAAAGAGGGTGATATGGTGTTAAATAAGAAACCACAGAGATATTTTTCAGTGCATCAACACAGGGAAACTAGCACTTAAAAACAAAAAGCAAAAGCAAAAAGCAAAAACACTAAAACACCTTTTTCATCCTGACTTAACTACATAAATGGGAAAAAAAAAAAAGCAGATAACAACAAGGGTCATTTCTTTGTATATCCTCTTTCATGGCAAAGAAATGAAAATCATGTGGATTCGAAAATATTACCTGATGAAGAAGAGGTTAACTTACCCACAATGGGGAAAAATACAAAGAACAGCTGATAGGTAAGAAGAATTATTTGCTTTTACCACTGAAGTAAGGGATTCTAAACAGTGAAAAGTATAAACAGATCTCATTTATTCTCCCTAAGGTTACTAAAAAGCTAATTAAAGATGTGGGTATTTTTTTTGTTGTTGTTTTTTGTTTTTTTTGTGCTAGGTATTGCTGACAGACTTCTTTTTTCCAAAGGGAAATTCAAAAAAGGTTAATAGACAAAGACCCTCAGACAGTACCATAAACAGTTATATGTGGATAATGAATTATGCAGCAAAATTGTTTTTATAGAAATTTGTTATACATTAACAGGTACCAGCCAAGCATGTAGTACCTAAGGAAGAAGCGTATGAAATATATGCCTGATTTATCAAATAGGTTTTGTTAAATTACTTTCTCCAGGATGGGTAGCTGCAACATTTCTTCCCCATTATAACTGTATTTCATTTTAACTAGTAAATCCCTTCTTAAAATGTATGTGAAAAGAAAATTCTTTTCCTTCAGCTTTTCAGAGACATTTCTCCTTTATTTTGATTAACTGCAAACAGACTGAACCATCCTCTCGACCCCCATTAGATGGGTGATCAGTGATTTATAAACAAGCACTTACATTAAAGGGTGACTATATTATAATATTATTATTTTTGTTTTGAAAAGTGATTTGGGGATTTCTTTAATTACACTCCTCTGGTGTATTATGTGCTTTGTAAGTCTGAGTTTTTATGCACTACGTTTTTCTTTAAATTCAGGGTATACCTATTTTGTGACTGTAACTCAGTGTCAGAGCTCAACGTTCCAACATGTTCAATGGATGGAATAATCAAGCATCGAAGTTAATAAAAGAGAAAGCCCTAAGTCATAGGTGGATTAAAAAATAAGGGAGCATCATTTCTCCATGTGTGGCTCACATCTTGGAGTTAACGTAGTCTAGCCACAGCTCTGATAGGTAACCCAAGAACAGAAGATTTGCAAGGGACTTTACAGAAAGTAGCTTTGTGTTCAAGCTCCACCTTCTGTTTCCAGCAGTCCCTGGTGGTTCCTCCCCCTCCTGCTTCTGACTCCTGAGCCAAAGGGTGGCCGTGAGTCAGAGCCCGTTCCTGCTCCCACCTGCTCTCATCTGGAGGCACCCTTCCCTTTACTCCTGTTCTCTGTAAAGGTCAACTCCAAAAATGATCACAAATTAATGGTTCATGTCCTGTAAACACCCATTAATCAAGCTCATGATATAGGACAAGTGGCTGGATTTATTCACAGAAACACTTACTGCAAAATCACACCCAGTGCTCTTTTTGATGTCATCCACGGTCAGGCCTTCCCAGAGTTCAATCAGAGTCAGTCCTTTCTTGTTGTCCACGTCAAACACAGCCTGTCGGAATCAAGAAAACGACAATGACAATTTCCATCACAGTAATTATTTTACAACACAAAACAGAAACAACCTCTCAAGTTCTTAAAGGAGAGACAAGACCGAGGACAAAAGACTCTGAAAATCAGCAATGAGAAAATGTCAACTCTAATGGTTATATTTTGGTGAGAATAAATGCCAGCTCTCTAATCGGCAATTAGTTGTGGAGCACCGTTGATGTCAGAAGATAAATGAATGTTGACTACTGATGGCACATGCTACTACTGTAACCAGTTTTGGGTTTTTGTTTGTTTTGTTTTGTTTTGTTTAACTACTTTCCTTTAGTTAGGTCTAACACTTCTGGTCAAAATTTCAGTTAGAAGAATAATGATGATTTGAAGGAAAAAAGGAATGAAGAAAGGGAGGGAGGGAGAAGATATTTGGAAGGTGAATGTATAAGGATGGCGGGGGAGAGCTGATCAATGCTGCTAGGTAAAGAGTTACAGGAAATAAAAGAAAGCACTTCGAAGTGGTTATGAGTAATTACAAAGGGATAGCTGTCCTGATCCTGAAAGACCCCCCCTGCCCAGGTAAATATTACAACTTTCCCTTTTAAGTCCTGCAAAGACACACAGGTCCAAGAGGACAGCATGAGAATCTCCCCCTTGGTATGAAAATCAAATGAAGATGCTCGTGTTTAGGACAAGCATGAGAAGGCTAACCTCACCTTAATGTTCCTTTACAACACTGTGGTTGGTAATGCCAGGTGATGGTAATGCCCATTGGTACAGTATGACCTCAGCACGAAGACTCAACTTGTTGTACCTGACTTAGGATACCTGCCATTTGTTACACTTAGCAATATGACAACCTGAGTGGAAGGGACTGACAAAGTCATTTAATATAACCTCCCGCTCAGGAATTCTTCCATTCTGAGATGGTCGGCTCTGCTGAGAGGCTTCCGATGCCTAGAGGCTCACTTGTCTCAAGGCAGATTAGATGGTCTACGGATGGGCAGCTCTAACTATAAGAGCCCAAAACTGCTTCCCTCTTTCACTTGCTGGATCTACAAGCAAAAGGCACTGTTCCCTCTCTTGGCTTTCACTACTAGTTTCCTCTCTCTCTGACTTAAAAATTATGCTCCTCATATCCTTCCCCTCTTCCAGGTTTACCTTAAATTCAACTATTATTCACAAGCTCATCTTTATTTTCAGCTAGTTTGGAACTCAAACCCAAAATTTCCATTTTAAATACTCTTGTGGATAGGAGGCTAATATGAAGACACAGCAACCTGTAGAGGAAAGAACCCTGGCTTTCAAGCTGGACTGGAATTTCGGCTCTGCCACACACTAGCTAAGTGATCTTTGGTGAACCTGCCTTTGCATGTGTACATGGATATCAAAAAACCCTACTTCCCAAAATTGTTATACAGGACAAATATAACGAACATTATCTGGGCACCTGGCATCATGCCTGAGGCATAACAGGGGCACCATATACATGCATGTTCTTTCTCCTTAATAGCTTAACTTATTGTCACTTGTGTGTGAACTCAAATCAAAGCCCTAAAACGGTTATTAGTCTCCCGTTAACTGATTTTTCCCCCTTGAGCAAAACATTAAGAGGACATGATACCTGAATTCTATGTTTATGTTTGATGAATTTACAGATTACCTGGTTGATTTTATTGGAAAAGATGATTTAAATTTTAGAGGAAATATTCCAGAAAACTTCCTTTTTGTTTGCACAATAAAATGGTCATTTAGGAATGTCTGTATGCTACATTAGCTTATTTAATTCCAAAATGACAATTAAAAAATTTTTTTTAATGGACACTTTTGCTTTGTAGAAAATGTGTCTGGAGCATTATCCATACTGATTTTCTTTTTCCTGCATTATGAACAACTGTAAATTTATCAAAATGAAACAAATTAAAAAAAAAAGAGTCTCTAGATTATATTATTAAGAACAGGAAGGGAAGGGATTTGGGGAAAAGATAACTGTAGTGTCATGAATATAAGCCTTCAGTGATCAGGGAGAGAAAATCTATGGCAAATCTACTTACTGCTTTTAGAAAACTTTTAACACCTTTATCAAACTCTAATTAGCTCTCAAGGTCATATACTGGAAAGCCAAGCATCTATTATTAAAATGAAGGAAATTTACTTTTGAAATATTTAGGAAGATTTCCATTTAGCAGTATAAAGTATAAACAAAACCTTGATAAAAATGGAGACCACATTATAGATAAAGCAGTTAATCATAGCCCAGCTGCTGGCGAAGAAAGCATCTTTCATAACCTCATTCTAGCAGTACAAAACTAGGAAATCAGGGTCAAAAATCTCCAAAGCCTCTTTCAAAAGGAAAACTAATGGAATTTCTTTAGAAGTTGAAAATGGAATTCTAGGGGCATATCTGCAATGGCAGGCTGAACACATCTATTGCCCTAATGGCACCGCATTCTCATTCAGTCATTCAACAAATATGCATTAGAGCACCTACTATGTACAGAGCCACAGGGGTAAATGTGCACCATTCCCTTCCTTGGGGTTCCCACAGCTGTCTTTCCCTTTGCCCATTTTTATCTATCCAATGTCATCTACACTAAAGGCTTCAATTATCCTTTACTAGGTTAATGACTTCCACAAGTTTGGTCCAATACTGACTTTCCTTCTGAGCTCCACATCCACATCTCTGTTTATCAGAAATCTCTGACTGGACGTTCAGGATGTTAACATGTTCAAGAATATCAAACTGGGTGTGTCAAAGCTGAACCCAATCTTTTACTGCCTCCCACCGCTCCTCCCTGTCTCTTCCTACCGTCTGGGCTTCATTAGGAAAACTTAGGAAGCAACTCTGTCTTAGCAGCCTTGTCCAATTCATCATCTAGCTAGGTTGAGTCCATCTGGGTCTCTCGAATCTCTCCTTCTAACCTGTGGTTTAGAACCGTGACGCTTCTGGCCTAAATCACTGAACGAATCTTCTAACTGAACTCTGTCTCATCTCTTCTCCCCCTACTCTGCATAAAAGCTACAGCATTCTTTCTAACATACAAATCTAATCCATCTAAAATCATTGAAGGGCTTCTACAAGCAACATAATGGCAATACATTCATATCTTTCAGTACTCACTCTAAATGTCAATGGACTAAATGCTCCAATCAAAAGACATAGGGTAACAGAATGGATAAGAAAACAAGATCCATCTATATGCTGTTTACAAGAGACCCACTTTAGACCTAAAGATACCTTCAGATTGAAAGGAAGGGGATGGAGAACCATCTATCATGCTAATGGTCAACAAAAGAAACCCAGAGTAGCCATACTTATATCAGACAATCTAGACTTTAAAATAAAGACTGTATCAAGAGATGAAGCAGGGCATTATATCATAATTAACGGGTCTATCCACCAAGAAGAACTAATAATTGTAAACATTTATGCACCAAATGTGAGAGCACCCAAATATAGAAATCAATTAATCACAAACATAAAGAAACTCATTGATAGTAATACTATAATAGTAGGAGGCTTCAACTCCCCACTCACAGCAACGGACAGATGATCTAATCAAAAAATCAACAAGGAAACAATGGCTTTGAATGACACACTGGACCAGATGGATTTAACAGATATATTCGGAACATTTCATCCTAAAGCAGCAGAATATACATTCTACTCCAGTGCACATCGAACATTCTCCAGAATAGACCACATACTGGGACACAAATCAGCCCTCAGCAAGTACAAAAAGATCGAGATCATACCGTGCATATTTTCAGACCACAATGCTATGAAACCTGAAATCAACCACAAGAAAAAATTTGGAAGGGTAACACATACTTGGACAGTAAAGGAATTAATCCTTCCTTTAAAGGAAGTTAAAGAAGAAATTAAAAAGTATACGGAAGCCAATGAAAATGATAACACCACAATCCAAAACCTCTGGGATGCAGCAAAGGCAGTCATAAGAGGAAAGTATATGGCAATCCAGGCCTTCCTAAAGAAGGAAGAAAAGATCTCAGATACACAACCTAACCTTACACCTTAAGGAGCTGGAAAAAGAACATCAAATAAAACCCAAAACCAGCAGAAGACAGGAGATAATAAAGATTAGAGAAGAAATTAATGCTATCGAAACAAAAAAAAAAACAGTAGAATAGATCAATGAAACCAGAAAATGGTTCTCTGAAAGAATTAACAAAATTGATAAACCACTAGCCAGCTTGATCAAAAAGAAAAAGGAAAGGATCTAAATAAAAAAATCAAGAATGAAAGAGGAGAGATCACAACCAATACAGCAGAAATACAAACAATAATAAGAGAATATTATGAGCAATTATACGCCAATAAAATGGGCAATCTGAAAGAAATGGACAAATTCCTAGAAACGTATACACTACCAAAACTGAAACAGGAAGAAATAGAAAATTTGAACAGACCCATAACAGTCAAGAAATCGAATTAGTAATAAAAAATCTCCCCCAAACAAGATGGCCTTCCAGGGGAATTCTACTAAACATTTAAGGAAGAGGTAACACCTATCCTCTTGAAGCTGTTCCAAAAAACAGAAATGGAAGGAAAACTTCCAAACTCTTCCTATGAGGCCAGCATTACTTTGATTCGAAAACCAGACAGAGACTCCACTAAAAAGGAGAACTATAGACCAATTTCTCTGATGAACATGGATGCAAAAATCCTCAACAAGATATTAGCCAACCGGCTCCAACAATACATTAAAAAAATTATTCACCACGACCAAGTGGGATTTATACCTGGGATGCAGGGCTGGTTCAATATCCACAAAACAATTAATGTGATTCATCACATCAATAAAAGAAAAGAACCATATGATCCTCTCAATAGATGCAGAGAAAGCATTTGACAAAATACAGCATCCTTTCTTAATAAAAACCCTCAAGAAAGTAGGGAATAGAAGGTTCATACCTCGAGATCATAAAAGCCATATATGAACGACCCAATGTTAATATCATCCTCAATGGGGAAAAACTGAGAGCTTT